GCGCGGCGAGACGCCCTAAACCCTAAGCCCTAAACCCCTAAACCCTAAACCCTAAGCCCTAAACCCTAAACCCTAAGGAGGATGTCGAGGGCTTTTGTTGGGCCGGTGTTCAAGCCCGCTCAAAGGCTTACAAAGCAGCTCTTACAAGGCACTTGCCAAGTACTTGCTGCACCTGGTCGGGCTCCCCCCCACCCCCTGGCAACGATGAGCCTCTCCGGGCACCACCTTCCGCAATCGATCAACCGGACACCAACCACCACGGTTTCACTATGTACTCAGTGTTGTGGAGCCCGTGTGACGGATTGCCGAGCTATGTATGTTCGCGCCAAACAGATCCACATCAGAGCCCCCACTCCCACAAGAGCTGGCACCTTTGTAAACTCGCGCTGATGCTGAGGCCCAGGCGATCCCAGGCGTGCGACGAAATCCTACCCAGAATCCTAACGAGAATCACACGCAACCGCCCAAGCTTAAACCCCAGGACCTGCTCGGTCTACCCTGTCTTTCCTCTGACCTTGAGCTGACACTGTGGCACATGGCCTTCGCACCTTCGGTGTGTCAAATAGAGCTCGTTGAACGCTTGTAGGTACATCTGAAACAATTCAAAGCAAGGTTGAGTCGAAGCTGCTTTCAGGACAGTCTAGGTTCTTTCTACATCTGCACGCTGAGACCTGACAAAGATTGACAAAGCCTTGCTCTCGATCGTAGAAATGCAGACTCATGCAGCCTTCGTGTGGCTCGCATCAGTTGGAGTCAATCTGGCAAGCTAGGCCAGGATCTTTCTCGCATCGCTGTCCTCCTGGAAGGCGCACCGTTCATATTCAGCGCCTTCGAGCTGGGAGAAATTCACTAAATGCACTTCGTCCTCGGTGATGGTAGTAGCTTGTATCTGCTGAAATCAATAAAACACACGGGAAGTGCAATGTGAGTTCCGGCTAGTTCCGAGTAAAAGGCTTGAAAACCTGCGAGCATTCGTGCCGGTGCGGCATCAAGCCACACCAGCCTCGGCCCGGTAGTGTAGACTTGTTGGACATGTAGCACCCAGCTGCGAGCGCAATCACAGCTCTAAAGCAACTTTCATCGGGTAGGAACAGCTGGAAAGACACGAAGAACAAGGTACGAGTGGAAATCCCATGCTGCCAACTGTGGCATGCCAGTCGAAACGTCTAAGGCGGCTGAAGTCCCTGCTTTGCAATCCTCAAGGGTCTGCGCAATGCAGGGCCCTTGAAATGTGGGGCTCAGAACATCTGGCATGCTTCACAGACTGCCGCGGGCCAGCATGCCCCAACAAGTGTACTATTAAACTATTGAGCCAGTTTCATGGTTCTGCATGCTTGGAGGAGTCACGCTCCCTGGAACGGCCATCTTTCAGAGCCAAACACATTCCATTTACTCATAACGACTCATAACCTTTTGTTTGTTCCGCGTGGCGTGACCTTTGTGCGTTATTGCCTTTGCCACCCGCTTGCCTAGATACTTGCTTGTATCTTGCTGGCAACCCCTCACGAAAGACAACCGTCGAGGGTACCGGATGGTGCCAAAGCCGTCACATAGGTCGACACTTCGCCCTCTCCTGCAAACAGAAGACAGATTGTCTAGTTTTGCTCCTTTTAGCCCTTGTCCCGTCCTGGATGCCATCCATCGTCTGTCCCCCCGAAGGTCCGACCTTGACGCGGCGCATGCCCAGGCAAAACATGCGGACAAATGTCTTTCAAGGCCCTGGCAATGGATATCGTATGCTCTACCTGGGAGGCAAGGGAGCTCAACAAATCCTAGTCGTGTGTTAAGAACGCATAGAGCAGCCATGTTAGACCGCAGCCGGAACCACACCCCGTAATTGGGTGACATTTTCTTCAGTGTTCCCGAGCTCGAACGTTGCAAGGCCGTTTTTTGCAATTCAGTGGCTTGGCTGACTCGAGCACCCGCATTGCTTCGTCCACCTGGCCAGCACGGCAGCTCGCGAAGCCATGCGAAGCCAAGCTCTGCCAAGCAGCGAGCCTTGGCTTTGAGCTGGGGCTCGCTGTCCAACAGGATCAACAGCTCGGAGTTGTCCATCTCGAGCATCATGCCTGGTGCAAGTTACAAAACAATTCGGAAATGACGCGTGTTCGGAGCATGCCGCTCCGAGTTGCTTCAGGCCACTGCTACAGAAGCTCCGAAATACGAGCACTCCATCCACAAGTTCGCTTTGCCTGTGATCTTGCCTGCCAGCTCCGGCTGGTGCTTGGAAATTGCCGGGAACAGCCGCTCCCCAATTAGTTGCTTCTGCACCTGAGCCAATGTGAACTGGCAGGAGCAAGCATTCAAAGTTCCCTCGTTATGAGATGCAAGTGATCTTCAACTTGGCGACGAAGAAATGACTTAGCATCCGTGTATCTCGGTCATAGTATGATGTCACTCTCAACTAAGTTGGTGGTGGGCTTGATTTCTCGATGTGCCGGTGGGCTTCTAACTCCTTTACTTGCTAGTGGGCAAAGGTTCAGTTGTTTGTCGGTCGTTGGTGGCCAAGAGTCAGTCAGCAAATGCAGCCTTGCATACGTGGTCGTGATTGGTCATCGCTCCCCGCCCCTCCCTCTCCACCCCTCAAAACTCTACAGTAGAGGCCATTCGCCCTTGTGGGGTTTGGCTTCAGCTCGCCGTGACATTGGTCTTGGTTTGGGGCTTGTGCGTCTCAACATTTTGGGTTCAGTTAACTTCAGTTTCCCTCATCCCTATGTGCGAGCGCAGGTGTGGCCTTGGTGTTGCTTCTTTTCTGGGTGTGGGTGGGTTTAGTTCCCCCTGCCCCATGTGGTGTGCTTATAAAACGCCAATACAGTCACGAGGATAGCGATCCATGCATCTCTGTAAGCGTCTGCGTTTTCGAAAGTAGCCTACCTTTGCCTCCCGAGAAGACAAGAAGCAAGCACTCCAAGCTACCCCATCTCTGCATGTCCTGGCATTCCTGAAGCGTTGCTGTGGTATGCTGTAGTGTGACATCGAGATCCAAACAAAAGCAACAGCAGCTACGAGAATTACAACCAAATGAGCTTAGGTGTCGGCGCGATTGAAGCGGCAGGCGACTCTCACGTAGATTCCCCGCGCTCGCCTAGCCCTCCATCCTCCTGCCTCCCTGACCATACATTTGGGGCCAGCGGGCGGGGGTGGGGGGGAACGCCAGAATTCCTTTTTCGGACAGGACAGCATCGCGAGATAGATCGTTTCCAGCGGTTTATATTGATTGGATGGTTCAGCATGGGCTCTGATGAGCCTAGCTGCGACTCGACTCGCGCCTGGGCAACGTGCCCAGACTTTCAAGAAGGACCTGGCGGGCAAGGTGGCCCGGGATGGCGGTGGGTGGGCGGAGCATGCCACGAAACTTAGCATAGACTTCACCCCTTCCTGCAGCGAACTTCTCATAGATTCGATCTGATCATGTGCGCATCTGAAAACAGCTGGCAACGTGCTTGCAAGCTCGTGGCAATTCCTTTCCAAGGAATGCATCCAGTCTTTTGTCGTCGGTTCGTTTTGGAGCATTGTCGGAGCTCTAGGCATGGCCATGGTACCTGGGGATGGGCGTGCCTGGGTCTCCCTGGGTCCCATGTCAAGAAACCAAGGATGCCGCCGGTGGTGCAGCAGCAGCGAGGGCTGCAGCTGTCAGCTGCTGCCCAGATCCTTGTGCATGCAGCGAAAACTCTTAAACGCCATTGCGTCCGTTGAAAACTGCAAGAGCTCCGTGCCTGGGTTGGCAGTCTGGGCCGGCGTCTGCTGAGACGGCTGTGGCATCGGGGCAGGCATGCCTCAAACGTTCCCCCTAAGCAAGGGTTGGGCCAAACGAACTCACCCGAGCATCCGGCCTGGGCGCATCATCGGCATTTGAGGCATGGCGGGTCGCATCATTCCCATTGGGCCCATGGGGCCCATCGGCCCCATTGGCATCGGCGTACCTCCTTTGCCCATGGCTCCGGGCATTCCCATTGGACCAGGCATGCCCTTGCCCATGGCACCCATTCCCATCATCTGCGGGTTCATCGGCATGTTGGGCATGCCCTTTCCCTTCTGGCCCATCATTCCAGGATTCGGTCCGCCCTGGCCCATCATGTTGCCTTTGCCCATGCCACCCATGCCCATCATCGGCGGACCTCCCATGGGGCCACCCATGCCACCCATCGGATTTCCGTACATCTGGTTGCCCATGCCCATACTGCCCATCATGCCTCCTTTGCCACCTTTTCCTTTTCCTCCCATGCCCTTGCCCATGCCCTTGCCCATTTCGCCAGGGGAGTAGCGCTGACCTCAACCGGAGAGAACTCAAACCGATCTGTGCCGAAGTGCCGGAATATTCTCTTCGAGACACGCAAGCGCTCGGCCCGGACGTCACGCTTTTCTGCCAGGCCCACGTACAGAGGCTTTCCCTTCACGACCTACCGGCGGCTGAGCTTGGCAAAGACCTTGACACGCTATGCAAACGGGCTCCGTCCTTGAGGTGCATCTCGGTTACCGCTTTTGTCGCTTCGTCCGGACTAGAGAAGCAGACGAAGCCAAAACCCTGCACGGGTTCTGCAACTGGGACTGAAGCCATGGACCGCGGATATTAGGCCCTCAAGCTGCTACTTAGCAACTTGTTGGCACTGATCTGGCCTTGCACTTGCCATTGGCCTCCTGCTCAGGGAACCCAGATTTTGTCTGGCACTTCGCAGAAGCGAACTGTGACGTACAATGACTGCGGTGCAACGTTACTGCAACAGAACGTGTCGGAAGTGGGTCAAGTTGGTGCTATTTTGGCGTCCTTCATGGCAATGACGGACGTGATGTTGCCAAAGGGTTCGAAAAGAGCCTTTAAGGAGTCGTCGTCTGTGGCCTCATCCTCAGCTGCTGACTGCTGCAGCCCTCTTTGAGGTTTTCCTTCCCTGAAAGGTCGAGCTTCTTTATTTTGTTAAGACTTTGCACTAGACTTTCGCTCTTCCTCTTTGAGGCAATGGCCAAGTTTTTCACGTACAGGTTGACACCCTGCGAACGCGACGGTCCAGCTGCCGGATCCCTTGGCGGCATCTTCTCCTGATCAAAGCACATGTACGACCTCACCGATTGAGGGAGGTCCAGGCATGCACAGGCCTTCAGTTCCATTTGGCGCTCGTACTTGGACTGCGCGCGGGCAACATACAGCAAATAGCCTGCTTTATCATGTTGCCGCTCTGGGCAACCAACACCCAAAGAAATTGATTTGACTCTCACGGTTGCATGCGAGCTGCTCTTTTCCGTCCGATCCTTCTCTTCCTCTTCTTTTTCCTTCAGGGCTTACTTCCAAGAATGGCCAGTACTCGGCCTTTCACGGAGATTGAGTCCTTGTCTGCTTCCTTCTGCTCATCAGTGCGACAATCCTTCTGGTGCATAGCACTGATAGCCTGCAGGCCAGTCTCCTATCCGTGTATTCGATGCGAAACCTGGATTTCTGACAGCTGGCAGCCTGAACGGCTTGCTCGTGAGTCTCGTAGTTGAGGAATGCAGACTTCCTGCCCTGACCAATCAGCAGGACTGGTTCGAATAATAAGTCAAGGATAAATAAACGGCAAGCAGCAACATGGACCTTGGGGTCGGTGGACACATGAGACGAGGTGATCTGAGCATCGCGTCAGCTCGTAACGAAGCATGACAGATGGCCATGCTGCGATGCATCTCAAAATTGGTGTGTGAATGTGCTACAAGGATGAGCTGCCAGCGGCTCCGTGAGCTGCAAACTCGGTCTTAAGCTTGTCCTGCCGTAGTACGCGACTCTGTGGGCTCTGCATGGATCCTCGATACTGTTGGAAGCCCAGGATGCTCCCTCGAGACCTGCTGGTCCATGCCAAGAAACTCCCACTTCCACTCACAAGCTCGCTTTTCTGTTGGTCGTCCAGTGTGTGTGTGTGTGTGCGCGTTTCTAAGTCTTTGAGAAGACGAGGTGAGCAAGAACGACAAAGTGAGAATTCACAATTTTCTCTGATCTACATCTTAGGACCAAGTCCTCGTCCCAGTCATCAGGGAAGTTTTTGATGTAGATCTCAGTGTGGCAGATGTGAGCACAGAGCAAGCACATGTTCGTGGCTTGGGCTCCTGGCATTGGTGAATGTGTTCATTGCTGGCTTCTCACCTCAAGAAATAAACTTACATTCCCCCGCACAAAACGATGTTTTCCTGTAACGTGCAGTTTCACACTGGGCTTCCAGCGATCTTGACGCTTGACGAAGCCAGACACTCCGACCTCCCGGACACATATTATCATTCAATGAAGACTCATCTTATGTCTTACTGTTCGACCACCCGTCGTTACAGCGGTCGACGACACAGTGGCAGCAGACGACATGTGGTTAGAGAGCTGAATCCTGAGGCAGCAGACCGTCTTTTCTCCGATTTGCATACCGTCGACTCGTTCAATGGCCTGCCACATGCGTCGTTGCTGGATTGCTGCAACTTTCAGGCCTGCACACCTGGCGTTGTTCACAAAGCTGCGTACGATCTTCAGACCGCGACCCGGCAGCTGTTTTTTTTCCACGACACAGCTCCGTCGACACTGACGCTGTCTCGCTCTGTTCAGCCCGGCCTGTTTGGCCGCATCTTCGGTCTCGTAGTGCACCTCAATCACAATTCAGTCTCTCGTCTGCTGCCCTACTGACCCTGCTGCAGATGCATAGGATCGATGCCGCATGATCCGTCGACTGGTGCAAAGTCCGGATTTCGGGCGCCGGCAAAGCCGTATCCGCGTGACTTTCCATCTGGCCCAGTGCAAACCTTCCAGGAATGACAGCTACTCTCCTGGTTCTCTTGCTCACGCTTGCCACGCCAGACGGCTGCTAAGGGCAGGTCAGAACATGTCACAACTCAAACGGGCTGAATATGTAGTGCTGAAACACATCGCATCTTTGGATGCCGCTGGACGTGAATTGCATCCAGCGCTCCTGAAAATAATGTGTACGTGTGCGGCATGATCCTGTCGGTGTGATAGATTTTCCCCTCGCATCCTGTCGCATGGCTAGGATCGATTGTCTGTATGATCGGGTATGTGTGTGCGTGTGTGCGCACTCGTGCATGCGAAGTGATGCTCGCCTCCGTGCGCGTCCGAAGCAACAGCGACACCATATTCTCCAAGCGAGCAAAGTGATGCCCTGCAAGACCCTCAAATCCTGGTCGAAAGCCTATGCACGGAGACAACCAGCATTTTTGAATTCCAGTGTCCCGTTTCCTAGCCCAATCCGAGAACCCTCCTGGGTTCGCCTCAGTATGAGGCCGGTGCTCTTTCTGTGGACTTGCCGTGGACGGATCTTGGGCAGTTTTAAGGCTTGACATAGCTTCACCTCTGTACTCTGCTTGACTGGGAGGTCCCAGAGAAGCTGCTTGTTTGCCGAGGCTTGCCGATGTCTGGAGTGCTCCGCTGTCAACGTGGGCAAGAGTTCTGGGTTTTCGATACGATCCGGCTCTGTGCATCAGGCAGTTTTGGTTGCTCTCGCGGCCCGTGCACTGGCGGAATCGGAACCCCACAACAAGACGCGACTGCTCGCACAGCCCGTCTGCTCCGCTCACAGTGCCAAACTGCAAGAGGCATCTTCAAGTGCTGTTGCGCCTTGCAGGAGAGGATGTTGCCGAAGAGGCTGAAGGTATCATACAAAGCCTTATTGTCGATGTTCCGGTCCAGGTTACGGACCTGGCTGCAAGTCATAAGTTTGTTTTTCGTATCATTTTGCAGCGCCGGTGAATATTCCAACATTCACAGTGCACAGCTCCCGGCAAAAACATTGCCAAGGCCACCTGGTAGTGCAGCGCTCTTTCCAGTTAGCTTTTTCTACCAACACGAGCTTCCCGAGGCTATGGCTTTTGCGAAGGCTAGGGTCGCGCTGGGACCACATGATGCGGCAGGCACGGCCCTGTGGAAGGGTTTCTCGAATCTGCGATGTTGCGTCGCGCAAACTATTCTAGCCTTGATGCTTGAATAGTTCAACGTGTCCAAAGCACGTTCAGCATCAGAAACGCTGTGGAAGTTGACGTAACCTGGAAAGTTCGTGCTGGTGCCAATGTTGCCACAACGAGGGATCCCACTGATGGGATGAACATATCAGCCAAGATGCCATAGCCAAGAGACCTGACATCATTACATCGACTACAGCAGTGTCACGTGCAGTGTCATTAGTGACTGGTGCTGCGTGTGACACTCTGGACCGACTGCAAAACCTAAAACCACTCGCACTCACTGTGAGTCTCTCCCGAGCGCACTTCCGGGAGACGCTGTCACGGCAGACGCGGATGGACGCCACTGGCCCGACCGAGTTGAAGATCTCGTACAGCATTGCCTCTACCGATGAATCTTACCGCTCCCGTCTAGGAATCTGCAAACTTGGCACAGACTTGCAGCGCCTCAGTGACATCAGGATGCAGATCACCCACGTACCTGGCACGAAGAGCCAAGTCTTCATGGCCGCCGCTTCTAAGCTTCTCTCATGCAAAACCATCTGGCTGGGACGGACCAGATGGTGGAACAGAAACATGAACTAGCGTGGCGCACAAGGACGCAAACTGAGGCACCTCAGCCCCCATACTCAACAGCCGACATGCCCGAGGATACGGACAACGAAGGCCTTTTGCTAACCGCCGCCACGCCACTCCTGCCATATCTGCCTGTGTGCATGAAGTATGATGCATCACTCCTTTCAGCCATCCTCACTCTGAGGTCCAAGGAGCTTTTGTGGAGAAGTGAGAAGAAGTGACTGCCTTGAAGAAACCTCTGCTCGGGTGCTTCAGCAAATGTCCGCGCCATGCACTCTCTAAGAAAACGAGAAGCATCCAGAAGTGTCAATACATTTCTTTCACAGGCATGTGCGTGGGTAAATTACTCTCGCAGGCCTCAGTGCCAGAGTGCTGCCTCGGACGCAGCACGTGATGTTGAGAATGGGGAAACCTGAGAGTCTCCAGGTCTTTGATCAGCAAAACAAGCCGAAGACATTCAATACCAAGCCAGTGGCAGGTTCTTTTTGTAGGTTTATAGGCTTATGCCTTGCTTGGGTCAAGGGATTTGCTTCCTGCCTCCCAGAGCAAAGACGGAAACAACCACATGCTGGGGATGTGGCGATTTTTAAGTGGACTCGGCGGGCCAGCGGCTGGCCCCCTTGACCTTGTCCGCTGCTTCTTCGAGCCCCGCAGCAACGTTCACATCCACATTCATGCCGCGGACGTCACATGATATCTTCTTGCCCACTCCTTTTCCACTGGTTGTTGTTCGTCTTTGGCCTGCCTGTGCAGCTTGCTATGGCAGCCTGCTAGCCTGCTCAGCTGCAACCAACACATGCTATTTTCGGACTTGGTCATTGGTCAAAGTGCTGTTAGCATTCGCATCGCACTGTTGCGATGATTATTATCAAGCATATCTACTGTTTGTCTCCGAAGCTTGGCATCCGTCCGAAAGCCACGGGATTGACCCTCGACTCATAAGTTAGCATCAGCAGTAGAAGTCGTAAACTTGGTCAACGCAAACCCCTCTCTGCTCACATGCCCGTATGGTTGTGAGCAAGTAGGGGACATCCACGGAAAGAGCCCACTGTGTAGAAGGTGGCCCTTGCACACCATCGGTTGGGTATGCAAATTGCGCTACAATTTCGCAGCCGGCTAGGTTGCACAGATCCCTGCTCACACTGGCGTCGTTAGACCTGGCCGAAACTTTAACCTGCACCAGTTTCTGTGAGGAGATCTCGAGCACTGTCATGTTCTCGTCTTGCGCCAGGATCTTGCAAACGTCGGTCAGGACCTCAGGGTACATTGCAGCAATTCTGGACAGCTGGCCGTCATTTAAGCCAGTTTGGACAAGACAGTGCGCTACAAAGCTACCCTCCCTCTACCTGCCCACCTAGACATCTACCTAGTCCTTCCCACCCAGCTACGTCGAGTGCCTTGAAGGTTGGCACCTTCATGATGAACAAGCCTTGTACAGGACAAGCAATGTCTGTAATCCGCTCGTCAAGCTTCTTCCAATCCACGTTCGGCGCATCTCTCGGACGCAACACGACCAGCTGCTCCCGGGCTTGCGCTTCATCGTAGCCCTCCCCAAACCCCCAGCTGCTTGGCATCGAAAGCAACGGAGTTGCAAGCAGCTTCATCTGGGCAAAGAAAAAAGTCATGATGAGTCCAGGCACCAGGGACGTCACGAATGCCATGCTGCCGAAGGCCTTCTGCAAGCCAAGCTTTCGCTGCACAATGCTCGACTCTTGAAAGAGGACGTCGAAGTAGACCTTCATGAATTGAACATAGGGGAAGCGGTACCAAGGCTCCCTTTCCAAACTCTGGCCGAAAATCTGCAAAATTTCAACTTGCATCCATTCGTTGAGCTTGTACCAGGTATACCTGGATCTCAGATGTACAGGCGTGCACATTCATTCCCAGACAGCTAGGCCGGTAAACATGCCGGCAACATATTTCTTTATTTTTATCTACACACACACACACCCGCACGAAGACACCATGTAAAAAACACGTCCATAAAGTCACACAGATACACGTACCACATGTGTTGAGCATGATGGCTCAAAACTTCTATTGCTGGTTTGATGCAAGCTGCTCACCGTCGTTACTGTGTACGTCCTCCGTCCATCCGCTGCTCCGGAGCCTCTCCAAGATGGCGGTGACTCTGGGCAATAGATCTTCTTTTGCCATTGTGTCTTTGCTTCTATATCGGATCCTCAAGGTACGTGTGTTTCCCGTCGCCACCCTTCGGAAGCCATCTGCCGCACCACCCACTCCAAATGTACGGCAAAGGTTCACGTTCTGGAGGCCTTGCTTGACAAACGCGTCTCAAGTTGATTCCTTTTCGTTTATATGCCTTATGGTAATTTTTCTGATGCACCGCTCCCGTATGTCCTTTTTCGGCTTATTCGGCGGTCAGTTGGCCCGTGGATACATGACAGAATGTATGTAGCAAGGCGACGCATAATATTTTTTGTAAGTACATCCACCACAGGTCGCCAGCATACCCGACGCCATATATGCCTTCAGGCTACCACAAAAAAGCTGAGACCTGAAAGGAAACATCAGGTGGTTTCGAAAAAGCTCTACCACTGCTTTTGCGAGGAATGATACAATGCGAATGAGTCCCAGCGAATCTTACAGTCACATGGAACTTTCTGATCTACACCATGTATGAGACATGTGTTGATCCTAACCAAACAACGTTGGCGCTTAGCCACACAAACTCGTACCTGGGGTCACCGTGCGGCAAGCCTGCCGACTATAGCAACTAGGCATATTACACCATCCACGATTCCCAATCCCCGTCGCTGTTGAAGCTTGTCGGAGCAATAAATGGTCTCATCTTGATGTAGACGTACAGTAGTGGCCTGCTCTGTTACATGTGCACAATATAATAAAGGTGTTAAGCATGCATGATGCGACCATGTAGTTGAGAGAACAACTGCTGTTCCTTTACAATGTACAGTGCTCTTCTAACAATGCGATGCACATTCTTCGAAAGTGTTCTTCGCATATAAAGATAGATGTGTGTATGTATATATGTATATATATATACTAATATATGTTACGAACACACTTCACACTCGCAGTCACCTTTACACGCCAAGGCTTTTTCGAGTTTACGGGCATCCTTTTCGTGTTCGGTCACTAGTTACACTAGTTATCACCAGTTGCCCGCGATGTATGTAGTCCCATACCTATGAACAGCAGTTCTCAAACTTTTCGGGCATCATGTCTCATGAGAAGTCTTGTGTGCTTCTGCTCGTGCTGGAATGTTGCTACACCTGTCCTGTCACACAACTAAAACAAAGCCATAGTATCACGATTCCAGAGTCGCCAAAGGATGTGATGCACAACATGGTGAGTTCATGCAAGGTCATAAAACAAACAACTCTGTGAACATGTAGCAACCAATCACATCTGGCCCAAAATGCAAACTGATGTTAGTAACGCAGTCCTATCTAGAGTGAGTGAGTGAGTGAGTTGAAGAATCAGATCAGAAGAGATCCGATGCGTCGGGAGAGTGACGTGCATGCTCTGCGGGCCGTGCGCGTTCCTGAAGCAATGCTTTCACTCACTTGGCATGCTCTGCAAAGCTTTCAACTCGTCCAACATCTCTAGAAACTGTTTTCAGGTGCAAGTGGAAATCCTTGCAGAGCTGCTGCTCCTGTAAACAGTACCTTCTGAAAACCAGGGAACGCAGCTTGCCATTTTGGAGCATTCGCCGCACATCCTCCGTGACGTCCTTTGGTGCTGCGGTGAGGGAAAAGTACCCGAAGGATGCCGAAGCGATTTCTGCAACGTTGCCTGGCATCACAAAAACATGGCTTGGCTATTCTCGACGTTTGTCTTGCATGATCATGCCATGTGGGGCCTTGAGGCTTGAAACCGCAAGAACGAACGGGCACGAATTCATTGTTACGAGTAGAAGCCCAGTTACAAATGTCATGCTGCTGCCCTTCTGCCATCTCGACATCTTGAAGCCCGGGCGTCAATCCATCCAGGGCTCGTTGCAGATTGCGTTTTCGTTCAGCCTCCTCTTGGCTTCTCACGGGCGCAGGCGCTACCTTCCCGACACAGACACGAGCACATATATAAGAACTCTTCAGGACATCAAACATTAACATGACGGGTTTGAGCCCCTCGGAAAAAAGGGTGACACTCAATTGCACGACAAAGGCATCCCATGTTTTCCATCCCAAGCCCAGGTTGGCTGCACACCAAGCCAAGCGACTACACCAGAAGAGGATTGTTGCGTCTGCTGGCTTCTTCGCAGTGCTTGGGCCGCCTGGTACAAGGGCGGCAGCTTTTCCAGGCCCACGTAGTTGCACATCACTAGTTGCTGAGTTCGAATGTGCACGTGCTGGGACCCAAGGAAAGCTCGCAATGCTCGAGCCCAGGTGGTTTCTGGACGAAATAAATCGTCTGCACTGGGAGATACACGATCGTGAACGGCCTCGAGCAATGCAGCTCTGAACTCAATCCACGCTTCCTCGTCCAGATAAGTAGACAAAAGGTCGGCCATTGTACTAACGCTGGAGACACTGCCCATCTTGGAGAGGAATACCTAGGCAGTGACACGCTGGAACTCGTTGAAAGCAATGATGTGCCAAAATTTCCGCAGGCTTCAATCGATATCTTATCGCCGAGAGACCTGTGTAGCTCGCTTCGGGAAACCCATTGCCTCCAGGGCATTGGCCTCTTGAAATTGAGGATATGCTTCGAGAAGCTTCCGGAGCAGCCCTTCAACCTCCTCCTTCGTGACTGAAACAGCCACCTGTCAAGGCAGGGTACTGCTAGCAACGGGCATTGCAGTCCGTGCACCGTGATGCTCAGAGCTGCCGGGATGGCCCTCTTTAGCACAAACTTTTCAAACCTCCTGGGTCTTCTGGCTGTGCACCCTCTGGCCCTGAAATGTGTCCAGGATGTCCTGACACGGATGAGACTAGCCAGCATCACCAATTGTGCAACACAGCAGGGATAGGGAAATCAATCCGATGCCACTCTTGTCTTACTTAGTCTGCCTGGCCTGGTCTTGGAGGAAAAAATCGGCAACTGCACCGTTGTGAACGACAACTACTCACTACGTGATTCTTGTTCGGCTTGCCAGTGATTGGCAGTCGTTGGTCCCAGGAGCGCTTTCGCTTTCAGTCGAGCGGTGTTGCCAACTCGTCTGTAGCTGAGTGCAGGCTGGTTCGGAGGGCCAGTGGGGTCGAAAGGAACTGTGTTGAACTGTTTCTTCCTCCGACTGCCTTCAGCCTCCGAACCAGAGCTGTTTGTGGACTGCAGGCTCGCGCCAGCTTGCATCATTGCAAGTGCTCGGAGCCGGCGAGCTGCAACTGAGTGATTTAGGAGTGGCTCCGAAACTGCACAAATTCCGACTTCGGCATGGTCCTCAGTGATTTCGAAACGGTTGCAATCAATTGTAGCTTCCGGTGTTGGTTGGTCCAAGCGTTTCACTGTTCTGGATTAAATCGTGCTTGGTGTGCCGTTTCGCAGCGATGCTGGAGCGATCTCGGGACAAGCGTGGAGCTATGTTTTCCTGCTGTAGACGACATGGTGTGGGGCTTCTACAGGATTTAGGGTATTTTTACCTGCGACTTCGCCAGGACGAGCCCGCACGGAAGGATAGTTTGGCTGGACAGGTTGCCATCACAAAGTCGACAGAACGACAAAAAAAAGGTGGCCATAGCATCATGCTTGCAACTTACAAGCCTTGGCAATGGACTCTGCAACCCTTGTGCCACACTGCCGCTGGTCCACGAGGGGGGCTGGGGGGGGGATCTGGGGCTCGGGACGCCCCGGCCCCCTCGCAGCAGATTTTATTTATTTACTTCGGGGCGGTAAAGAAGAAAGCTAAATCCGGAGGCCTCGCCCCATATTTTTTAAATCATGTAAAATATTTCGTGCCCGATACCAATCAAACAACTGAATTCTTAATCCGGATCCCCGCCAATTCTTCAAGTTTTCGACTCTACTTCTAACCCGCTAGAATGTAAAAATGGGCTACATTTGCCGCCTGTCTTCTGGGTTTATGCTACTACACACAGTTCCAGCTGGCAAATAGATCGGGTGTTCGTTGCACACGGGGAAGAGGGTGGGGGCTCATTATCTCCCGATATGTTGATTGAACTTCCCGAGTTCACTGCTGACCTCTGCATTAGGCCAGTGCTCTGCCAGCTTGACCCTGTCATTCTGCATCGTGGTAGTGCCCCCAATCATGGACATTATCAGGTTTTACTCTGCAATGTTGATGGCTCTCACGCCTTTCTTGCTGATGACAACGGCCCCACAGCGCATTTCGACTCGCGGTGCGGCGGACTGTTTTGGTGACACCTATATGTTCGTTTATAGGCGGTGTTAATGTCCTGCTTCTTGGGTATTCGTACCGGGGGCACATGTGTGGGGGGGATGCACCTTGTGGTGTAGTGTGACCGAGCGAAACGCTTGTCCCCTCTTTGTCCGTCAGCCGAGGATTGACTCTGCAGCGTGGAAAGACAAAAATGAAAAGTATGTATGTATGTATGTATGTATGTATGTATGCATGCATGTATGCATGCATGTATGTGTGTGTATATGCATGTATGTATGTATGTATGTATGCATGTATGTATGCATGTATGTATGTATGTGTATGTATGTATGTATGTACATAATCTACATGTAGACATGTGCATGCGATCTCATATCTTATATATACGCTGTCACAAGAGAAAATGACAAGGACAAGAGCTGGCTCTCGAACACAGTCTGGAAATGAGCTATTTTCGACGGTGTTACCACCACAAAAAGCCGAGCAAATTGGTCCTTGATCACCGATGCTGCAAACATCTCATTCGCACTTGCCTTGCCATTCTGAACTTTCTGCATCAGCGCGGGTACCAACAACAAGACTTCAAAGGGGACCAAACTACCAAGGCCGGAATCTGCAGGCCCTGTGAAGTCCACATGTTCAACCAGTGGCCGCAAATTTTGGAGGATTTTGAGTATAGGTTCAGCTGCTTGGTCCACCAAAGATTGTGCTATCAACTGCTGGCCACTGCTGAATGCCTTCATCCGCTCTTTGAAGATGGCCACCGCCGCGGGCAGCGTGTTGAGGATTCCGTCAATGGCATCCAAGACTCCTCGCAGCAAAACCTGAGGAGCTGTTTCCATAAATGATGCCATGGCCTCTGGGAGTTGAACTGTCGAAGGTGGTTCGGCCAAGGAAGGCACCGGTCTCGAGGCAGACTCAAAATGCAAAGGCGGTTTGTAAAAACACATCATTTCGTCCACCGTGGGGTCATATGGCTCCATCTCGAATAGCCTCAGGCTGTCAGGTCAGGCTCGGTTAGCCGAAAAAAACAACTCGCCTCCAAGGCAAAGTTCGTAAGGTCCCGGCATGGAATCCTCCAGGCCGGTGCTCTCCAGAATCTTCCTCCACTCTGACAGAGATCTAAATGCTCTCAGTTCCATTTGCTCTTCCTTTTCGTTTACTCCCATGACGGCATTGAACACACTGTGGGCCAAGTCTAGCATAGGCATCAAGGATGGTGAGGCATCGTGCTCGCGAACAATAAAGAGACCTCCTGGACGTAGCACGCGAACCACTTCTGTCAAGAATCGAGGCAAGTTCTGCTGGGGTATGTGATGAAGGCCTTGCATCATTGTCACTAAATCTGCGGAGTTGTCAGGTACCTCCTTAAAAGGACCTGCTTCCAGCAGCTGCCAGTGCACGTCAGCACCCACCGGATCCAGGGATCCGCGTTCGATCACGGCAGGAAGGTCATCAGAAAATGTGTCGTGGGCAACCCAGCATTGCCCCTGCATGTGCAAAGCCTTGCGTATGGAAAGCACTGTGCGGCCAGGATCTCCGATCGAAAGAAGGTCGTGCAACTGCCCAAACTTGCCAAGATGCGACACAACTGAACAAACTTCTCGTGTCAACTCAGCTTTTTGTGCCGATACTTGATTCAGCTGCTTCCACATTTGTCTCCCAGATGTCACAACACCACCGGACTCGTGCAGCTGCCTCTGCAAAGCACGATAGATCTCAATGTCATCTCGATTCTCAGGGTCTCGTGCAGCCTTGACCATCATTCGAAAGAGCGCTTCATTATCCATTACATTGAAGATCTGAGTCAAGAAGCCGTCTTTGAAGTTCCGGCGCAGAAAGGGGTTGGACAACAAGTCACGGAAGGCATTGGCACGACGACTTGGCACTTCGGGCACATATAGTCCCGATGTTCGCCCACTTGGCATCGAAGTAGATGTGGCAACCGGTTGCGACAGTGATGCGCGATAGTGTTCTGACAAGTATTTGGAGCCGTAGTGCCTGAACCACAAGTTGTCAAACAAACCAAGGGGGTCATACATCTCCTTCTTCATGAAGAAATCCTTTATCTGGGGGTACGCTTCTTCAAGCTGCTCATGGCTATAGTGACAGCCTGGCCAGCATCAGCTCGCATCATGTGTACATCAACCTACGCAATCTAGGTAGCATGTTAAGAAACTGTCTTACAGGCCATGGAACGATACGGCAAATAGAAGCTCCCTTTCAGTGCCAGAGTCTCTTTCACGAACAAATCATGAAACTCTTGCATCTTTGCATCTGCCAAGGCAGTTCGTGGCAGGCGATAGTATAGAACGAAGGCAAACATGCCTTCCTCGTGTTGGGCATAAGGAAGAAATGTGTCCATGTCTCTCTCTACGAACCGGATGGTGGTGTTCAACAGAACTACCTCCGTGGTCGCAGACAGCTTTTTGTAGATTGGCCTGGTTCTGCTGATCCAAGACTCAAACTGACTGCGAGGGCAGAAGTACTCCTGAAGCAAGAATGTGTCATCAACTTGAAAAAGTGGCTCGTAGAGTTGTGAAATTGGTACGGCGCTTTCGTGAAGCATGTGGTTGCGCTCAGTCTCATTGCCCCAGTCAAGAGCTGTCCCAGACTTCTTTTCGATGGCATACCGAACCTCCTTCATGACAGGCATGAGCCACTTGTACATCAACCTCGACTGCCAGGACATCTCTCGCGGTTTCGTGTCCAACTTTGAGACCAACCTAATTTGCTCATCGTGGCTTCTTCGGAAAACGAAGAAGTCAATGTTGTTTGTGTCGAGGATGTTGAGCCGTGCTAGCTTCATGACAACATCCCCCGATGCTTGCGCTGCAGCAAAGTATCGAGTAAATTCGTCCGCTCTCAGATGCAATGCCTCCATGTCCATGCGACTATTCCGGTCGACTCGCATGGTCACCTCCCACATGACGCCGAAAAGGCCGTACCTGAGTCATCCCAGTATAGACCCCAAACAAACAGTGAAACACCGAAGGGACAACTGCCAGAAACACTCCCGAAGGACCGCACCACCTCCACATCCCGAGACCGCTCCAATACCGACCCGAATCTCTAAAAATCTAGCGTAACCATGCTTGATCCGTGCTGCAGCCATCTAATGCATGTCCAAACGCAGAATTGCTGAACATTTTGTCTGTCGGTTAGCTTCAATAGTTACCTCCCCCTGTCATGCACGATGCAAGCCGAGGGACCCTCCAAGAGCAAGCTTGAACAGCTCACCTGCTTCCCCGTCAGCGCCACGGGAGCAGGAAACTTCTTGGCCATCAGCCTTGATGAGGCGAAAAGATTCGACGCACTCGGACAGGCTGAAGTCGGTGGTGATGCCATGACCATTCACTGCCAAAGTTCCACCCACTGAGAACGTTGAGTAACTTTGCATTGTGCGAGGTGACATGCCGAAGTGATTCAGGAAGAGGATGAGATCCGCCCAGGTGCATCCGCACTCACACACGACAGTTTCAGCTTCGCTGTCGAAATGCATGCGACACATTTTGGTCATGTCGATGACAATGCTGTCTTCGGCCATGCACTGGCCTCCCATTGAGTGTTTAGTCCCTCTTACTGCCACTCGCCTTCCTGCTGCTCTAGCCTTTGCCAGGGAATGCTTGATGTCGTCAGCACTGCGCACATACACGATACCACCCACAGCTGTACAATTCATGCGGGTGACATCGTCGACTTTGATGGCGCTGCTGCTGGGATCGGGATCAGGATCCGGAAAACTAAAGCGACAGCTTGGCCTGTTTGCAGCAGTTGACGTTTGCTCGCCCGCCATTGCGATTCCAATGCTTAGAAAAAGCAAGCTTTGATACTGCTGCCGTGACTGGTCTTAAGAAACCGACGTCCCTGTGTGTAGCAACAGGCGAACACATCTCGATGCGATCCGGGCTTTTGACGCTTCTGGCTGAGGTACAGGCTGACAAACTGCTTCCTCATCGAAAGTCTTGGTCACCCTAGTGCTTCTTCAAATGTGGCTTCTTTAACTCAACTACATGGGCGCCTGAAGCCTTCTAAATCTTGCTTACTTCCAGTGCAGAGGGGGTGCTGGGAAAATCGAAGGATTTTATGGGGAAGCTGTGCTGGCAACTGAATGGTTGAATGGTTTGCGATTTCATGGCTGTCGAAGTATTTTGGATGCTGGGCCATGTAGACTTTTGGCTCGAGAAGCGGCCACCACCGCACGGCCGAAAAGCGGGAGTCTCACAAAGCAAGGAGCACTCCGTTCCCCAGGTGTGAAGGAAAAACCAGCCACAGGCATGTCGAAGAAGTGACAAAAAAGTGGAGCTTTGCGGTTCTTAATGGGTTTTAGTGGGAGTCACAGGCAACAGGGCAGCATTCCGCTCCCCAGATGGTCAATATTTTTTGTGAATTTGGTGGAATTTCAACCGCCTTCCCAAGCAGCCTGCCCTCCACAAAAGCTGGTTCCAACGATGGCTGAGTGACCTGCCCTTCCGTGTAAATGTCTTCTAGAGTGCAGTGGGTGTATGTCTGTTTAGGGTGAGATTTTGTCTGTTTTCAACGTGGGGGGTTTGTCTGTTTCTTGTGGGGTTTGGTCTGTTTCCTGTGGGTGTGCAGAATACTCAGCAAGACCCCAAACGAAGAAGGCAAAGTCGTCCTGACAAAATGTCACAGGATGCCTCACCACAGCACATGCATGGCCCAAACTCGCAGGCATTGGTCAAGCCCCCGAAGAAGATCAAAACCCCTCGAAAGATTACAAGGCACTTCTACAGTATGATCTGAATCCCAACTGTGCAAACTCTCGCAGACCCTCGCCATGCACTGCCAGGTCAATTTAGCTTCCTGCCAAAATGCCTTTCTTCTCGCACCTCAACCATGAGAGAGGGTTTGAACTCGGCTAGAGTCTACGCGGTTAGACGGTTGGATGCCTGTCTGCTGCTAGAAATTAAAGTGCCGCCATTGGCACTGGGATCCTCACTTGACCCCATGTGGCCAGAAGTGTCACAACAATCTGGCCGCCAATAGCCATATACAAGATATTAGCCTAAGTCAATCATGATTTTTTTTTACCGTGTTGCAGCCGGCGTCGCCTGCGGCAGATTGAAGTCAAGGGCATATCCCCTTCTGTCTGCCCAATCTACGTAAGCTCGCCAGTATGGGTCAGCCCTCAGAGTCCAGCAGTTGCCCACGATTATCAAGCCTCGCCGTGCCCTCGTGAGCATGACATTCAAGCGGCGCCAGTCAGCCAGGAAGCCCACGCGCCCACCACGATTGCAGCGCACGGAGCTGAACAGAATTAGTTCCTTTTCGCGACCCTGAAACGAGTCCACAGAAGCAACCAGCAGCTCTTTCGAAGCTTCAGGGCTCAGGCTCAAGTATTTGCGAATTAAGCGCCGAAGTGTGCGGACTTGGCCAGCGTAAGGGGTAACCACCCCGATCTGAGATGCTTGTAGCTCGGCTGCGTCCAGCACGCTACTCAGAATTTGGGTTAACAGCACAGCTTCACCAGGATTGCACCATGACTGTCCGTTCTTCTCTTCGGAGCAATCGTTGTCACGACCGGTATCTATGACTGCTATTCCCTCTGTAGGGCATGGCCACTCGAAACCTGCAGGTGGAGGCCGCATGGCAGCGGAAACCCCAGAAAGCAGCTTGGACTCGTAAAACACGTGCGAACTGTGCTCCGCAATGCTTGGATGCATGCGGAATTGTGTATCGAGAAAGAAAGAAGGAAAGCCTCTGAGAACCAAGCGCTGGAAAAGGGAAAGAGTCAGGCCGCGCGTCTCGGCCTCGAGTGACAGGGCAGCAGCCGGTAGCTGGCAGTGGTCACCAACAAGGACCAGGCGGTCTGCCCGAAGATGAGCAAGAGGTACCAGCGCCGAAAGCTCCGTGGTCTGAGCAGCTTCATCCATCAATATTGCGCCAAACTGCAGGCGCTTGAGAAGTGAAGTTGCTGATGCGATTGTGGTGACGCAAACAACATCCGCTCCCTCCAGGATCCTTCTTGTCGCCAGAAACCTAGCACTTGGATCCATGTAATCGTCGCAGGTCTCTCGCAAAATGGAGTCCAATGAACATCGATCCAAAGCAGAGCTTATACGGTCTGGCTTGGCAAGCCGAACGACATTCAGGCCTTTTGCACAAGCACTTTCTGCGATATTGTCCACTGCAACGTTGTTGTGGGACGATACAAGAATAGGCCTCACTCCTACACGCGACCAGAGTCGAAGAATCTCGACCGACACGTGAGTTTTACCAGTGCCAGGTGGCCCTTGGATCACTGTTAGCCGTCTTTGAAGTGCGGCTGCTGCTGCTTCTTTCTGGGAATCGTTTAGCTCTGCTGAAGGTTCTAGCTGCTTGCCTCCAGGGCTGAGATCTTCCTCAGCCAAGGACTTAAGCTTCAATATGTTCACATCGTTCTCAGCATTCGGCAAGCTACGGCTGCCGAACCTTCCTCCTGCCTTCGCCTTCTGCAGCTTGCTTCGCATCTTGGTCGCCCATGAATCCACGATGTCACCGCCCACGCCACTCAAAGGTAGCAATTCCCACAGTGGGAACCTTTTCTTCTCTGCTCTCCCTGCAATGTCTCCGAGTGCTGCAAGCTGGCGCTGATAAGCAAGAATGTTTATAGCGGAGTATACATCTACAAGCTCCTCCTGGCAACAAATTTCTTGCACTTTCCGTTTTCCACCGACATCCAATGCCAATGCGAAATCGGTATCGCTTAGCTCAGTTTCAGCATCTGATGACACGGCTGAGGTCGAGTAAACTGCCTGTGCAAAACAGGTGGCTCCACCATGTATCACACTCACCCCAGCCTTTGAAAGCACAAATGAGTTTCCTGCGGATACATCGAGCTTCGATACCCTGGCCGAAGATGTGGAAGTTGTTCGCAGCACCAAAAACTTGCCATCATCACTGGGCTCGGGATGCAGATGCAGGGCCGCATTGCCGGACTGAACCAGCAAGGACGTGGGTCTTTCCCACATTCGATGCTTTTGTCTCAGCTCCTCCAAGAAGTCCAAGTGAAGTATGGGAATGAAATGGGAATAGTAGTCCACGAAGCCACCAGCAAAATGTGGAAGCTCAACCCTTCCCAGAAGATCTTCTATCACCACCCGTTGCAGGGAGCTGCATGCACTCTCGATCGAATCTGAGCTTCCTTCTGCGACTTCTCCACGTGGGCAGCAGCCTCGGAACAGTTCGGCATTACTCGGCCCATCCCCAAGCCCATCAGGAAGAAGAGGAACAATATTGTCGGGCTTGCGGATGGTCAAATTTAAAACCAAACGCACCATGGCGACAGGCGTGGGCACCCGAAACAGTAGTTCTGCGAGGACTTTGTGGTATGTTGCTACGTTGATCCTCACGTTGCGCTCGACCACCAAGTCCAGGACTTCTGCGAACTCTTGACCTCCACCAACAGCAGCTGCCACGGAAAGCAGGTCACCCAGGTTCGACACCTGGCCGCACAGTTCGACCACGGACCCAAGTTCAGAAGCAAAGAGCAGCTGACAAAGCCTTGCCTGTCCGTCCCGAGGAGAGGCTCTCACAGTCGCCAGGAGGGCCGAAAGCTTTCTTCCAGACACCAGCTGACGCCATTTCCTCACAATGCATGGAGCAGCATGGAGCAAACTATTCGGAACTGTGCGAAACAGTGCTTGCAGTTGGACCTACGTGCTGCATAGCTTCTTCTTCGTCATCTTCTGCTTACCCTGCTTGTTTCTTGCATCGCCTATCCTTGCCTCCGGCACGTAAATGTCCGGCAGACCTGTCCGTTTCAACATCTTCTTGTGCCGCTTTCCCGCGACATGCTGCGCCAGCATGGCAGTGCTGGTGCATTGCCTGGAGGCTGAAGATCAGACCGGAACACACAACACCATGTCAAGATAAGTCCACGAATACTGCTTCCGTGATGACCGATGACTATCGAAGTCCGAGTAGCACTTTGCAAAGTGGGCAGTAAAGCGGATCAGAGATCTCTCGCGGATCTCGCGCTAAGAGCCTGCCGTTGTCCTCCTTTCCTCGGGCAACTCTCCTGGTTAGAGTGCTGCAGACTGGTCTCGACAATCTGGCGCACCTGCATGGCAAGCACCAAGCCGTCAGTGTATCAGAGCGAAGCTCCCCGGAGCTGGCGGACAAGTTGTCACGCGCAGCTGCCCGCCTACTTTACTGAGTAGTCTACCGGCAGAGACTGTTTCCTCGAAGCCTTTCTTGGCCGAATACAAGCACCACCCATCACCACCGCTTCGAGTGTGCAGACTCATGCACATGCACCCACCCACACCCGTCCACGATCGCACACGCACATGCACCCAGCATCTCCCATCCGCCCTGTGAGCAAAGCCCAGTCAATTGATAGATTCAGCTTCGGCTTCGTGCTGCCTATCCGGTCCCTTATGCTTCTGTGTTCGGAAAATCTGAGCATCCGTGCGCCTCCTCCTGCCCAAAGATAGTTGGCTGGCCCCCAGAATCAGTATCCACCGAGCCAATGCCGAAGCTTCTTCACAGACTCCAGTTCCACGATGCTGCGGAGGCTTTATGGAGCCTTGCGACAGCACTGGAAGCGTTCCTTCCCAGAACTACACGCCCTTGTCACATCGGGGCCCTGAAGGCCCGCCAGAAACTGTGCGCCTCGTTGCCATACGGATACGAAGTGAAGTGGAGCAGCGACGCCGGCACCAGCTGAGCACCTTGTGGTGCTGGCCATGGCCCATGCGTGCTCTTTGCTGATTTTGTGCCAAAAGTGCAAGACTCTGACGGCTCGTCAGCTCGGTTGGCATTCGATTGCATCTGCTTCATCGCTTCTGCGTGTAGCATGGAAATGCGATGCAGCTTCCAACTGTGTGCTGCCCTGACAGCCGCGACATCCTTTTCCACTGCGCTTTTCAGTCGACAGGTCTGAAGCGATGTCTGCATGGTGCCCACCTTGGCATCAGCTTTTGCTAGTGGTGCCCGTTCCACAGCTGGAACGGTTGGGGAGCGATAAACTTCCTCCACTTTCCTGTTCATAGCGGGGCCGGATACGCTTGCAGTCTTTTTCGGAGCGTCGGATTCCCAGTCAGGCCTGAAATCTCACCTTCTGCTTTTGGGGCTTTGCGACGGGATGGCCGAAGGGGTCACCGCGGGTAGGGTGGTAAAGGCTGTTGGGTTGCGGCTCGGGGCCGATCACCTTGCTGGTGTCTCAACTGTCTTTATCAGTGTTGCGGGTATCTCTTTCGTGTGTGCATTCGCGAGGCCACTTGGAATGTCCCAGCGCTTAAGCACCGACTGAAACCTTTATGCTGTATATATTTATACACTCACGTGACAAGACTTGATATCTACGAAACTGAGGTCAACACTGTGACCGTCGGGACGTGACAGAACAGAAGTGCAGCTTTCCTGAGCATGCTGTGGGTTGGAGTGGCACGGCATGTCCCTCTGAAGCGAACCTCGGGCCTCGGCCTTTGAATCTGGCACAGGCGAGAGGAGCCTGCAAACGTCTCAAGGCGAGGCAGCACACACCAGGATTGTCGGAGAGTTCCTCCTGTCTTGTGCTTTGTGCAACTGCAGACCTCGAAACCCTAAAAAATCTAGATCGGATATTTCTCACGAACCTCGGATCGTTCCAACAAGGTGGCAGGGCGGCAAAATGCTGCAAACATTTATTTATTGCTGAGGCTATGCTGCGGAATGATGCTATGATGTGGTGGCTATAGGACAGAAGCAAGCATGTCATGCACAAACGCGAAGGTGTCTTGGGCGCAAAACAAGCGACAAGGGATGCTTCGTGGATCTCGAGTTGCAATTTGCTCGTTCCTGTGGTCTTTCGTTCTGGGGTGTGTGTGGCTTCCTTCAGTCTTTGCCGCATCCTTCTCGCGACCAGCCGATACCGGAGACCCTGGTGGTCACGTGCTACCGACTGATGCAGCTGCTGCCGCTGTTGCAGTGATGATCTCACATTGGAGGGTGCGGGCTGTTCCAAGTTTTTTCGACCCAGCCCCAACAGTTGAAGGCATCCTGAATACTACAAGCTACCGATCACAGCAGCATGTAGCTGCCACGTGACATGTCCAAGCCGAAGCCTGCGAAGTGTGCACACCGTGCTGCCGCCCACCTTCCAATGAAGTACGCTGAGTACGGAAAGATGTTAGCTGGCCAACAACACACGATCGGGAAATGCCAGGGTTTCGACCTTCTGGCTCAATGCGGAAAGAATGCCTGGTCATCTATCGGTCAAGCCAGTTTCCACCACTCGTCGTGCAAGAGAAGCGGAGGCGAGGCGGGCTGTGCCTCAGAGTCATCACGGCACTAAGAGCCTGTGACCAGATCCACCAGCCGGCTGGCACGTAGATAAAATCACCTCGTGCGAGATGCATCTCGTGGCCAGGCCTTCCGCGGGTGAAGTACCAGCCTTTCTGCAACACCGCTCGCAGAGGTCTAGCAGAGGCTGGCAAACTTGACACCTGGCGGCTTGAAGCGACAGTTTGAGCCACGTCACGCATGCTCAAATGCTTCTTGCAGCTTGCGCCTCTTGCAACTTACTGCGAAAGCCCTCGGAAGGCAACCCGAGGAGTGATGCTGCAGCAGGCGAGAGCAGCACCAGCTCCTGCAGGAACGAAAATGTCATCCCAACTGGTTCGGCTAGTGGCCAGTCATCCTTCCCGGGTTCCCGGGTCCTGTCTGCCGTGAAGCACCAACACCTGCCCTGCAGTCATGTGTCGCTCACGGACAACGAGTCTACATCCCAACCAGCTCCCGACCCCCCCCTCAATATTTAGCCGTCCCATTTCGTGAAGACTGAAGTGTATCGGCTTGGTTACTCCAAGTTTCCACGTGGTAAGCTCAGAAGGCTGAGCTCTCGACGGTCGTGGGCAGATGTGTGCGGCAACATCTCGGATTGGGGCGGCTCCACATCCAGAGCCTCGTGTTTGCAAGAAGCCACCAGATGCCAAGTCTTCCCCATCTGTCTCTGACACGGTGCCAAACCTTTGGTGTCCATCGCCGCTTATCGTTTGTTTGCGGCGGCAAACAGCTCGTGGCCAAACTGCGGGGTTAACCAAAACTGGAGCGCGGTATCCCTGATGGCCGAAGCTCGATCGCGCAGACGGCCGGGCACATTCCCCTCGACCACGCGCGGCAGTGCCAGGTACGCATTCTGCGCCCATCCCGGACGCTACCCAGCGGGCCGATGCTGCCTAAATTATCTAGCGGGGGTGCTGAAGGCAAGAAAAGCTTACTTAAATTAATCCGTTTACTGCCCTCGCTTGTTTCTACACGCACTGCGTGCGCTGCCAATTAGCCGAGTCAGAAGGTCCCACAAGCAGCCCGCAAGTCAGCCGAACAGCTAAGCTCAGAGCAGGAAACTCGTCGATCCCTGCCAGGGCTGGAAATGCCTGCAGCACTTCACGTCTCCACTGGAAAATCTGTAGCTCAGATCGAAGACACAAGATTGCATGGTCTGCATGGTCTCTTTTGCGCCGCATCGAGAAACAACTACCTACCGTTGCAGTCTGCAGTCTTGGGCAGCAGAACGCAGCTATGCCAGATAGACATAGCATGCGATGCCCTGATCGTGGAGAACGTGCTTCTCCAAATACCTTGCCAGGACATAATCGAGGGCAACACAAACAAAGCCTTATGTGCTAGTCCCTGGTTTGTTCTGGTTTGCGCCCTTACCCCACAGCCTCACAACCAGTCTTTACCGCGTGGCTCTATTCAATTCTCGAGTTAAGCCTAGCCGGCCTAGCCACAGGAGCAGAGGACTGCGCTGCCAAAAAGCAGTCACAGAAAGAGCGGCAAAACAGACTAAAGACAGTGAAGTCAATCGCCCTATTGATAGCTCCCGCTGGCGCCCGCGCGCGCGCCCGAGGGGCCACCTCGGTAAAAGAATCGCGTGTGTTCTCACCGTCGCCACATTGACTGACGTCGCTGGAACCAGGCAGGGCCCTTCAAGTGCTGGTTTAAGAAATGAAAGCGTAACATTGGCAATGCGTCGCTTCAATGAAAAAATGTGACTTAAGCATAGCTCACCACAGCAGCAGCATCACAGCGAAGACAAACCGTCTCAGCCACACTCAAAGCATTGAACGGCCGATTCTTAACGTTACCATTTTGGCTTTGGCACAGCAGGCGGATCGCAATCGGTCCACACCAAACCTGTAGAGGCACCAAACATGAAAAAAGGTGAGACAGGGCGAGACGGCTGCGAGCAAACGGCCGCGGCATGATGCCAGCTGGGTAAGACTTGGTCGGGACGCGTGGGGTAATGTGGAGCAGCAGGATTCTGGGACGACGGCTCGAGATAGGCAAACTGGCCAAGATGCTCCCTGTCAATGAGCGACTCAATCCTCCGCTTAATGTCCACAACTTCGGCAGGGAAGCGAACGGAAGCCAGAACATCTGCGAGAAGCTCTGAGTGCGATAGTTTCCTTTTGGCCTTCCTTAGCTTTGTGAAAGTAGCGTGGACTGCCTGGGCTCGCAAGATAGGATCCCAGGCTGCATGCTGCTGTCCTGGTGTTGTCCGGCTGCATGATGCGAATGATGACGGCATCAAGTTCATGTTGGCGGCTACCTTCCGACCGGAGCCAACAAGACACTAGCTTCTCGTGATAAGCAACAAGACATTCAATCGGTACTTCATGTCTCCAGAGCCTACGACCCTCTGCTCCACAGCATCCTCTTCTTGCAGTTGCTCCTGCGGCGACAGCTCACACAATGTAGCTCGACACCTGAAAAAGAGATTCCAGCTAGCGTGCAAAGCTTCGAGTCACCTTCGGCGAAATCGTGGCAACGGTGATTCTGTGGAGCTTGTGGGTAAAGCCACCATTGTACGTAAATCTATCTGTGGATTGGACGTCTTGCTCAGCACTGTCTCTGAGCAGGATTTTGACAGCTTTATGCAGCGTGAGGCTTTGCAGCGTCAGTTGCAGATCAGCCTGCGGAATCTTTGTAGCTTCCGCGATGTCCCCAAAGCATAGAGAGTCGGCTGAGTTGAAGCAGAGAAGAACCATTGCCTGAAAGTGGGATACCACGAATTCCTTGCGAGTCTGGCCGCCGGCTGCGCCATATGTAGCCCGCAGAACACACTGGCCCAAAGCTGGACACCATGACAGGGAACGACCAGTGTGTTGCCGCTGATAGAAATTTGTAAAGCATGTCCTTGGACACAAGACTTCGGTGTAACACTTGCCAGCGCTGCCGATCATCAGTGCTCCGTGCTCGTCCAATCCACCGGCACCGATTTGCAGCAGGGTCTCATCAGGCGGAAGGGAATCGAAGGAATCGAGATGTCGGCACTTGGCTGAGCGGGCCATCTGCCTGCTGTCAGGACGGAGGCGACGAACTCAACACCGGTCTCCTGAGTGTGATCTGACAGGCATGCAGCACCAAAAGAACGCACGCTTCCCGACAAAGATTTGCGATTGCCTTGAGCCGGGGGCATGTGCTTCGGACAAGCCTCGTCAAGGAGCTGCTTTGCTTGTGCGGTAGCCTCAAAGCTTTCACTCAGCACTCGAGAGATCTCCAGGTTCTGGAACATTCCCTCAATTCCTCGACTGAGCAAGTTTGCACCTGCCCCCCCCCCCTCCCCTCCAACGGAAATGAATAACAATGACAACAGTAAAATAGATGCCGAAAGCTGCCCTGGAGTCCAGCTGTGTATGCACTGCCGCACTCCCCTCGAAGCTTTAACGCTACGGATAGTTCAGCTTCGCGGGAAATGGAACGTTGCAGAAGCAATCGTCGTGCCAGATCCTTTCTGTAAAAGGCCTCGAACCTGCATGCTTCACGCTTCTGCACATCGGTCGTACCAACAACCGCTGCCTGACGAGGTCTGAGGCCACCACGCATCTTTCGCTGCAATGTACCGAAATATCCTGAACATCCACCACTCCGAACATGATTCGTCGTTTGTAGCTACCTCCCCCAAGCAAGACGCATCGAAGGACTGAATCTGATCGGTGGTAGCTGCGATTGTGGATCGATCGGGTTTGTCATGCAAGGGCAATCCAAGCGTCTGAATTGCTCGTTGGACGCAAGCCTGGCACAGGCGATGGCTTCCTTTCAACTTCAGCAGGTGTTGGTGGCGTGCGCCGAACCTGGCAACGACTAGCTTCGCTTCCCATGCTTTCCCGCACCTCTGCATCTTCACCCAATTCCAAATCGGCACGTTCAGGTGGAGAGAAACTTTGAGAAAACGATTGCGAGCACCTGAAGCCAAAACAACCTGCGTGCCGCCCGCCCGGCAACGAGCCCTCGACCCTTTCCGAAAGTCGACTCGTCTTGGCTCTGGGCTTGGGATCTGCCACACCAGCTCGGACACCGCCACGGCCACTACGCAAGACACAATCCATGTGTCGGGCCAGTCTTGGCAGCGTTGAGTCTGCACTGCACTAACTGTCACAAACTGACACACCATCTCGCCGCTTGAAATGCAGGGGTACTGCAACGAAAGCCGCTCGTGTCGACGGGCAGCAGTTTGGCCACTTTTTTCGCTGATCGTGAGTTCAGAGATCCTGAATCACTTAGAAAAGGCTGGAGCGAAACGACACATGCAGTAAACGAGTATGCCAAGTCTGAGAATGACTCCTTCGAGCGCTTCCTTTAAGGCAATTCCGAAGCTGCAATCGTCGAGAAATGCGGCACTCAGGACCTGTGCTCCAGCAGTTCCAAAGGCAACAATTTTCACAAGGCCCTGCAACGAGGCCGAGACCTCCTGTGCCGCGGAGATAAGCCGCTCGATGCTTGGAATGACAACTTTGAAGTCATCGCTGGACTCGAGGACATTAAGCCCAGCCTGGCTATTTTGCTAAGACTCTAAGAGCAGGCTGCAGCGTTGCAAGCTGACCTAAAATCCCGCCCAGTTCGAGGCAACCTTTGGTATTTTTCGGGCGTTCTGCCCACCTTGCGAAGTGCATCGCCATAGGCGCGGCGAAGCACTGGAAGGGCACCGATGTCCTGCATGTGTGCGACGCTCGCCATTTTCTCATGGACTTTCGAGAGCTGTCCCTAAAGTGCTGGTAGAGGATGGCCAGCGCCTCCACCTGTCCAGCAAGAAGGCTGGTGCCGGAAGGAACCCACGCAAAAAGCCATTGCTGTATGGCAATGCCTGCACGTCCAACACCAAGTCATCAAAACCAACTGATAGCAATTCCTCTGAGCGCGTCTGGATCATCTCCTTCTGACCGGCTGCCCGAATCTGCCTGAGCTGGTGGCATGACAGAGTTGCCTTGATTCATGAAGACAGAATCTTGTGATAGTGTCGGCACGCAACGCAGGAGTACGGTTGAACTATTGTGGCGGGTGGTTGTGAACAAGCCTTGTCTTCCAGCTTTTTATGCTGCCACTGCTTTTTGCCTGCGCTATTCTGCATAGGCCCCAGCACTCACCTCAGCAAAAACAATCCTTGCTGGAAACCTGGCAGCCCGCTGTACTCCCCCACCCAGGCTATGGTCTGGTCGGGGGGAGTGGGACGGAGTCTGGAATCTGAGATGGGGGGCTCCCTGCAAGTCGTCATTGTTCTCGGATTCTGGATCTTGCTGTTCCGGCAGTCGCAGTGATGGATGTCCGGCAGTTTAAGGATCCTTATTTGACAGAACTTCGATGCCTCGAGAATGCCCGCACCTGTCTCACGGATGGACAGTTGGGGGTTTGTTGATCCTACGGGGCACAGAGATTGAGCCCAAAAATCCACTGAATGGCTTGCAAACCCCAACGCGGATCCAAACCCACCCACACCTACATGAAAGGATTGAAGACAGAACCACCAGGAGCAGAAGGGGACTCAACAAACCCAATCACAAATCCACAAACAGGGGCGCAAGCGGGGGCGTGCCGCAAAGCGGCTGTGCACCGGTATTGATTGCTTGTGTTCGCTACTCGGCTCACACCAAAATCCACTCCTGGCAACGACAGAAATTACCTTACCCTTACCAAACATGTGGGTAGCTCACTGTGCCGAGAACACTTTTCAGTGATATCACACGAGCTCGTTGGCAGAACATCGGGATCTGAATGTGCTCGACACTAGCAGCTCTAGCAATCAGCGAAGCGACATCATCGTTGATGGAAGCATCCCGCATTCTTCTCCAAGCGAACTTTCGGCCGCCAGACATCTCTCCACGAACGCCAAAAAATCCGGTAGTTTTGCCAGTTCATGTTCTTCAAGCCAGATCGAGGACTCCTCGTGGGATCGAGGCAGCACGTCGTACTCCACCCTTCCAAATTCTATGATGCGACTGAAAGCATAATGCCTGGCCTCTTCTAGATTCTAGGTTCAGGCTATTCTAGCTCGCGTTCAGCGGGTCCGCACATCAACAATTCTCGCACTGGGTGCGTTTCACTCTCGACGTGCGGACGACTTGTCCATAGCTTGTCAAGCCCTTCCAGTACACGGCACCACTTCACCACACGCCTGAAAACTGAAAACCCTGATTCACCAAAAAAACGAGTCGCGATAAAACCTGCCGTCGAGGAAAGGTAATACTACGTCCTTGCGACACTCCCCATTGGGTGGACATCCGGAACAGCATCACTGCATCAAGTGCACACTCCCGTACGTTTAGATGGTGACACCCAAAACGCGTCACTCCATGGCTCCGGAAAGCGGTTGACTCTGCGTCATCGTGGCGGCGCTTATTTCTGAGGCGCCCGGGGAAGGGACACAAAGCTGGAGACAGTGCAAAGGAGCATGGACGGCAACTGCGACCGCTGAGCCGAAGACGATGCTTCGAGGAAGCGATACAACTAAGCTGAGCCAAACATAGCCTTACCTTTCCAATATTTGCCACTTCTCCTTTTCCAGCTTCTGGCTTGCAGCCCCACTCTGTTTAGATTTTTCGCGGTACTTAACTACTCAAGGCAGCATGGGTCTTTTCGGGTGGACAAGCCCCCTTGCAGCAACTCGCGGTGGCCAGCAGCTTCAAATCCTCTAGATTCGCTTCAGAATGGTGTGGGTGCGGGCCATGTTTTCTTGAGCAGAAAGGCGTTTGTGTATGCATGTCTAGTGCCCACAATGCATGGCCTCGAGTTCCCAGCCAACGCTTGGTAGCTACTTGCATCTTTCGAAGACTATCGTCACCATCGCTGCCTTGGCCAATGTAATTCTCTGGCGCCTGCAAACATTTTCCATGTTCTGAAAATACCTGGCATTACCTGGCCAATGTAGAAAATCCAAGCAGCTTCGAGTGGGAGATATGCTGATGCCAAAGGCACTGCAACTTCATGGTGCTTCTTTGGGTTTAATGCCGTGCGCAATGTGCTGGGTGTCGTATGTATCAAAAGCCGGCACCACTGATGCCTCACAACATCCAGCAACAACATGCGGCCTCACCGTACCTGGCCCGGGAACCTGATGCAAATCCGCGAAAACTTTCACATGGACGCCAGACTAGCAGCCTTCACAAGATGTCAGTCAAAATACAAGGCTCCTTGCAGAAGAAGGTAGCGGTCTCTTCCAGAAGTTGTGGCTCCAGCTGGACGGTGTACAAGTCCAGAATCTTGAACAGTTGTATCGCAGATTTCAGCGTTTGCTTGTCCACAACCTTTCAGATTTCGCGAGGTACCGTGCAAACTTGACTGCACGCGCTTGCTGTCTACCTTTGGTAGGTGTATGTGTGTATATATATACAGTATATATATATATACATACACACACACACACACATATATATATATATATCCAAGTAATCACCCGCTTCTGCAAAACCTTGCATGCCCTCCCACACACTTGCTGGTCACACCTGGCCTTGCCCTGACGATGCTCGTGGATCAATCGCAGAGCACCGCTCAATATGGAATCCAGGGGTTGATGCGTTTCGAGAAGAACCCGGCGGAAGTGGCCACGCAGAACCTCGTAGAGCGAGGCATCAGCCTCTCGAGTGTCAGCCGTCTACAGCCTTTGAGTCCACACTCTTCAACATTTCCATGCAGGCCTTGCGCGCGACTGCAGAGTCCAGGAAGCTGTAAATTCTGGATACGTCCGTGAGGACCCCGCACATGGCCAAAGCGACCTGGCAACGTGATTACACCGATACCTCGAGCATGCGCCTCCAGCATCAATCAGCAACATCTTGCAGAGAGACAACTAGCACATCCGAAGCCGAGCAACAGCCACTAGATTTGATAGCCCATCTTGGTCCAGGTCCACGCTGCATTCACTCAGCTGCTGTCGCAGCTGCAATGCCACATCCTGCAGCAACTCCTGAAGGAGAGTCCTGAGATTCGCTGCAGATCACCGTCTACGTGGATGCATCGTGCAGTCTTCAGTTTTCAATCGATACCAACGCCACAGATTTCAACTCTCTGGCAGCACCATGGGGCTCTGCAAGGCCGAGGGAACACAGTGCTTCGACATGGCGGCACAATGCCTGTTTCGAGCCACCTCCCAGGCTAGCAGAAGCGTCACGACATGTCACGAGGAAACGGAAAATGGAGCGCACGCATTGCATTGTACCTGGCAACGGCCGCCGCTGGCAGAGTGCGCTCACGGCCTGCACACGGGTCACTTTCAAGGAGCGATTGCGAATCCTCATGCTGGGGCATTGAGGTGGCCATTCAGACCCCCATTTCTCACGACCCGAGCATGCGACAGCCTGCCCACATTGGCAAACAATGCATCTTTCCATTCGAGTTTCCCGTGTTCATTAATGATCTTTTGAGCATTGCGGGGTCAGGCTTGGAGTACCGGAGCCCACGAGATATGGCCCAAATCCTATCGCGCGAAGGTGTGTCTAGACCTTCGGATGCGAGTCCCATCAATTTTGCACCAAGCGGGCTACAAGTCAGACACAGGAAACAGTCGGGTGGTGGGTTGAGTGGCTTAATATCGGCCTAGGCCCAAAGTCCAGCAATTTCACTGCCGGTGGCTGAACAGGTGTATGCACCTGCTGAAATGTCCGCCGTGAAGCTTTCCACCGGTTACAGCTTCCCTGGTCCGCTCGGCCCCTCAGGGCCGAAGAACCACAAGACGGAGAACCGCCAGACACCCTCTAGACGGGCTTCGGCCTCCTCAGTGCCCCCTGCTAGGAAGGCTTTGGCTCCTCTGCTTCGGTTCGCCGCGGGACAGACAACCACCCCGTCCTTGTAGGAAGGCTTCGACCCTTTCTCATCCCCGTTCCCCCATCAATCTCCTCCGATCATACCTTTTCCGAACGAAGCCAAGACCAGTGCCAAGCAATAAACCAGCAAAGGTCAACACTCATCGTTTATAGCTTTGCGGGGGTCAAAAAGGATATGGTTCAAATCTTCGGCGTATCACTTTACTCTTGTGACATGAAGAAACGTGGCAGAGACTTTGACAACAAAACAAACCATAAGAGTAATAATCACAACAGTTATGGTGATAGTTACATGAAGCAACGATAAAAATGACAGTACCAGTAGCAACAGCAACATCAATTAAAGTGTTAATAATCATAATTCTGCTGACACTAATGTGAAAAGCAAAGGAATCCACTTAACTTTCGGTCACTAAGCAGGGTGCTGCCAATCGAGTACCCAAGCATGGCAACTGCAGGGGCAGAGCAAAGCAAGAGGGGCGATCGGAAACTAGAACCGTGGGATTAACTGCGCAACAGAAGGCAACACCTACACTACCCGTCACTACCCTAGCGGAGGCGGACCTTTTGCTGGACTATACCAAAGGCGAGTCTTGAGCCGTCAAGCTGCGGGCGAGACAAAGTTGGCAAGATACGTAACAAGCGACCAAGGTGTACATCTTCGCAAGTCGGTGACAAATCACACCCCCCTCGACGCGTGAGAGATGCGGAATTTAAACGTGTCACACGATTCTGATCGTACGTCGAGCCATGCCTCTTCCGGAAGCTTTCAAAGCTTGAAGCAAACAGACCACTAGGCATGGGTCGATTCTTGGTGGTTGATCGAACCTACGTATCACACTGTACATTCGCAGCCTATGCGATTTAAGAGCTGTAGCGATGCGCAATATTGGGATGCACTGGACAGTTCTGTGTAATCGACGTTCGGGTTATTCGCTTTTGATCCACGCGCTCAGAGCGGCAGCTCGGCAACATCGAGTGTCAGTGAAAAGAGATAGACACACGAGAAAAACACCATGGCTAGCCCTTGTACTCCTGCGGGTCTTCTCAGCTTCGGCAAGGACGAGGCGCTGCTGAGGAAAGCGACGGAAATGGTATCCCATCGCCGTTTCACCATCAGAGCCGACACGAACATTAACGCTGGGACGAGTCAGCAATGCTCGTGAAGGCTCAACTCATCTGTTCCACCTTTGACGGGAGCACAGCCGGCATGGCGCTGCGTGGTCGTTCATCGGGACCAGGCATTCGATCGAGTGCCTTCTGAACCAAATCCTTTAGCTGGGTATCGGATTCGATAAGTCAGCTGTGCCATCATGAATGCCGCAACAAGCTTGTTGCACATCACAACCATTACATCCCGCACATGGAGCAGATTGTCCTAGAATGCTTCATGCGGCAGTCCCTCAAAGATGGCATCGATCGGGATGGTGAGCAGGTTCGTTGATCGCACTTTGCCCCAGATCAGATAGCGCGAAGCCCCTGGAACAACCTGGAGAACAGCTGAGACGGTGTGGTTGGACAAGCGACGAACTGCGGTGACATCGGGCCGCACAGGCTGACTGAATCAAAATCGTTGTTCAGTCCCATTGCAGCAGTACTCAAATTGAGCATCAGAAGCGAGACTCGTGATGCAAGTCCATGCGGAGTTGAGTGTGTACAACTCCAAACCCCTCCAAAGAATGATGATGTGAGTGTGCTTGGGAGCGAGACCCGAGTCGGCTTTCATCTTGCCGACAGTGGTAAGCATGTCCTGCAGTCCGGCCTGCTTTTCGCCCGTGTAGCAACCGACCACTCGCACGACAGGGTTACCCATCCCCAGGTAGGACGCCGCCTGGGATAGGGACTGACCCACATCTCCGTGCCAATACCTGTTGGTCTTATCGCTGCTACTGTTCCTTCTCCTTGAGCACCCCATCGTGGATACAGCGAGGTTCTGTTGGGCGCCATTGCTGGCCCCATACACAGGAGGAGTTGCGGAATGTGCAATTGCACAGGCGGGACCATAATGCCGTGAACTGCGGCGGCAGAAATCGCATCAGCGGGCGTCCAACAGGCCCCTTCCGCTGCCGCTGCTCCCACGTTTGCCACGACGTCACGATACTTCAAGTTCTCGACTGCATCAGCGGCCAACCACCACGACCCACCAAGGCATATGCATCCCTTTCGAAGCCGAGCTGCATCAAAAGCAGGCAAGGCATAGACATGAGTAGACATTAGCAGCCTTAATCCCAACAGGATGGCCCCCCCGAACCCCCAAGTCTCAGGCCAGCGAGATCGTCATTCGCCAGAGCCAGGTCCTCAACGAACACATCTCCATCCGGGTTGATCACCACGTAGCTTTCGCCACTCACGTGACGAAGAACGAGTCGCTCGTGCCACGAAAAGTCGGGCCATGGCGAAGGAAAACTCTCCTGCTACCGAGAACCAAATTCCTCAATCTCACTGCGGCCAGCTGCTGCTGAGCCAAAGCACGTTGCGATCCAGGTGGGCTGTCCCCAACCTCCTCAGATTGCTCCGATGGACTTCCACGGGCTAGCACGATTTCTTTGGCCCGAGCCTTTGCCCCTTCGCTCTTCCCCTGCGGTGTCGCAACACTGATCGGAGACCGCGCTCCTGCAATGGTCCCCGGCCGCCCGGGCAGCATACTCGATGATCTCCGAAACCTGGTGGCTTTTAGAAAGGGCCTGCTGCAGCACACCCTCTCCAAAACAGAAGCCTAAACACGGCAGAAAGCAAGCGAGCCAAAACCCGGGTCAGCGCCGGCCGGGGCACTCATGGCATCTGCTCTAAATTTTAGAAATCACATTGCGGCCGCACCATCATGGGCTGCTGAAGATCAAACATGTGCAACAACTCAAAAGAGAATTCACATGCAAACTCCACGGCTTCACGCCAAGCCGTAGCCGCAGCAGTAGCAGTAGCAGTAGCAGTAATTATTGTGATTACTATGATTATTGTTACTACCATTATTATTCGTCTTCCTATTGGTAGTGGTAGTAGTAGTAGTAGTAGTAGCAGTAGTAGTAGTAGTAGTAGTAGTAGCAGTAGTAGTAGTAGTAGTAGTCGTCGTCGTCGTAGTAGTCGTAGTAGAAGTAGTAGTAGTATGTGAGTGCACAT